CAAGAAGTTTGTAAAAAAATGAGTCCTCCTCAACCATATAGAACTTATCTACAACTTATGTACAGTTTTCCACGTCTAATCCATGTGTATTTACAAACCTACAACCTCAATGTTTCAGTCTTATGTGCAACAACCTGAGAGGCTAAACTTGCTAAAAAAGAGTGTAAATCTCCGGAGGCGATTTCATGCGTACGTTGCGTAATCGGTCGCGCTGAAGAAGTCTGCAGCGTTGTAACTCGGGGGGGAATTAGTGGGGAAAACATAGTTTCCTTGAGGCATTGGAGGCACGTAGTAGGGCATATTAACTGTGCCCGCTGGATTAATTGGCTCCACAGCGGCTTTTTCAACTTCAGCCTTCTCCAGCGTCTGCCTTTTGTTCTTGTATCTGGAAAAAACCACTTTGTGTCAGCCGAAACCATCCGAAAAGAGCAAAATTGATGTTCGTCTTACCGGCGATTCTGAAACCAGATTTTGACCTGCGTGGGCGTTAAATTCAAAGATTGGGCCATTTGCTCGCGCTCCGGAGCCGACACGTACTTCTGCATTTTGAATCTTTGTTCCAATTCGTAAACTTGACCTTGCGAAAACAAAACACGTGGTTTCCGCTTGGACCTTTGCCGTCCAGACTTCCGCAACTCCGTCTTCGAGCTGGTTACTTGCTGTTCTGCAAAAGACAACGTCAATTTATCGGTCTAGACTGGACGGGACGTCGACATGTTTATGCCCGTTTAACTACAAACATATGATCAGCGTTTTTCAACGGGACAAAAGGGCTCACCACCAGGGGCGTATCCTGCTTTAAATTCAAGGGGGGATATGTAGAAAAAATACAGTCTTCTGTTGTCTATGAAATTAAAAAAATTGTCGCAATTATTGCAAAATTTCATGTTTTCCGTCCCGTTTTGCATGTTTCTCGGAAGCGAAATGAGCAAGAACGCTCGTTTTTACATCATTCAAAAGAGAACTAAATGACCTTTCTAGAAAGTGAACCATGGATGGGGAAATGTTGGCAGTTTTCTCCAAAAATGCTTGAATTCAAGAAGTTTTAGATTTGCGTGGTTTTTTTTGAGTTGCAAAATCCACTTGAACATGACGCTGCTTTTTTCGACGTTTCTCAAAAACCATTCGAGCCACACAATTCGTTTTGGCATCGTTGGATAGAGAATTGAAAAGTCGATTCAGTCGTAGCAACCTGAGTGAGGAAATTCGAGTAATTTTGACCCAGAAAGCGAAATTTGAATATGAGACACTTAGGTGCAAGATTATGCCAAAATTTCGTGTTTTCCGTCCGGGTTTTGCTCATTTCTCGGAGGCAAAATGAGCAAGAACGCTCATTTGTACATCATTCTAGACAGAAATAAATGGCCTTTTTAGAAAGTGAGCCATGGATAGGGAATTGTTGGCAGTTTTCTCAAAAAATGCTTGAATTCCAGAT